TGTCCCTTCCTCCTCAAAGTCTCCAATACCTCCCTCAGATGCTGCTCATGCAGCTCGTGGGTCTTGGAATAGACCAGGATGTCATTAATAAACATAATCATATACCGATCCAACATAGGTATGCATACCCAATTCATGAGATCCGTTAATGCGGCCGGAGCATTGGTGAGCCCGAAGGGAATCACCACGAAGTTGTAATGACCATAACGAGTCTGGAAGGCCGTCTTCTGCGTATCATCCTCTCTGACACTCATATGATGATAAACCGAATGCGTATTACTCTTGGAAAACCAAGATACACCCTGAAGTTGGTCAAATAAATTGTCAATCCTTGGGAGTGGATAATGGTTCTTCACCGTTAGCTTATTTAGCTCCCGGTAATCGATACACATCCGATGCAACCCAACCTTTTTCTTTATGAAAAAAATCAGCTCTCCTCATGGTGAGCTACTCGACCGAATAAATCCCTTGTCTAACAGATCCTGCAGTTGTGTAGACAATTCCTGCATGTCATGAGGTGCTAACCGATAAGGTGCCTTGGCTATTGGAGCCCGACCAGGGACCAAGTCAATCCGAAACTCCCCGAATCAAACAATACCAAAGCAGAGATATCGTTTACAAGGAACGATCCTAAAACAAAACACATAGATATAAGCTGGAAAAATTAGCATGAATAAAGAGATAAGGAGAAGATACATACCCGTCACCACATCAGGTGCTACACGAGCCTCCTTGGCTGTCAGTTGAAAAGCCCTGCTCCTCAGAACAGGCGCATCCGCCTTGCTCTGGCGGCTATCCGTGATCCTCAAAGTCGTCAGAGCGGGAGGTATAACTGGTCCTGCCACCGCTAGACGCGGACAATCGGCCTTTTTATGGCCCCTATGATTGCAATGGAAGCGAATCAGACTCAATCTCTGGGTAGTGGTTGTGAAATCTCGACTAAAGTGCCCAGTCTCGCCACACTTGTAGTAGCCTGAACCACCACCCCTACAAGCTCCATCGTGTGACTTGCCGCACTTTCCACAGCGGCCCCAACCCTGTTGGCCTCTCGATCTCGAATCAAAAACCTTCAGCCTCTTGCCAGAACCTCAGAACGTTGAACCTGATCCGACTTTCTCTTCTTCTCCATCTCCAAATCAATATCCCTCTCTCTGGCTCGCGCTATCATATGATCGAGTGTCTTGCAACTAGATCGGCTCACAAACTGCATGATATCGCTCCTCAACATCTCATGGTATCTCGCCTTCTTCATCTCCTCGTCCGCCACATACTGCAAAATCAATAACGCCCTCTCATGAAACATAACAGTGATCTCTGTCACCGTCTTAGTAGTCTGGCGAAGGTCCTGAAACTCCCTCACCAACTGCTGAACCTCAATCACAGGTGCATACGCAGCCTGAAACCTTGTTAGACAATCCTCGTATGTCACCGACTCAAACCGCCTCGCCTCCCAAGGCGTGTCCAACCTCCTCCCACCAGTCTTGAGCTCTTTCTTTCAGAAGGCAAGATGCAAGTCAAACATTCGCCTCCTTAGTACAAAGGCTAGATCGGAAGGCGTTCATGACGTCTTCCAACCAGTGACTGCTCGCAATCGGATCCTTCTTCCCGAAGAAATCCGGAGCCCCACATGCTTGGAACTCACAGAAAGTCAAAGAGCGGGCTCCCACCATCACCACCATTTCAGAATGAAAAGCGCCCAAGCACTCATCCAGAATCTACAAAATACCCTCCTTTACCATCCCAAAGATCACAAGAGTTTACTCAAGAATACTGCGGGTAATTTCTGCCGAAATGAACTCCCTCATCTTATGATCCATAAATCCGACTCCAAAGCCCGAACCCGAACCATCACTGGCACCAGAGCCGATACCAGAACCTCCTTGAGTGACCACCATACTGAAAATAAGTCATATAAACCATCAGAATATACTCGAAGAATCCCACATTCTACAAGCTTCGTGGTATCATCATGACTTTCCTTGACTCGAGTACAAATCCTCTACTTTCAGTAGTACGGGCACATACTACCTTCCATATCTATCCATACTTTCCTCAAGGATCACCCCAAATCCTCCAATTCACTCCGTTATCAATCCAAACAACTCTCGACAAGACAAGGATCTCGGCACTGAATCGCCTCCTAGGTTTTCCTAGGGCAACCACCATACCACTCCCCACCATCGGTTGTAGAAGGAACTCCCCCAACACCCTTTAACTAGCTCACGAATGAAATTACATATCATTGACACCATATAATTCTTCGAATGAAAGGTCTCACGCTACAACGGTTGGACTCAACAAGATCTACGCAACATAGTTAAAACCTAACCTTCTAAAATTATCTAGTTGTAATAATATGTAACTTAGCATATTAGCTTACTAGTTAGCTGATGTTAATGGGAACTCCTAAAAAGCACAAAGAAAGCAGTATTTGGGCATCGAGTAATCGGAATCAAGGATAACCAAATAGGCCATCCTATCACTGACTGATCAGTACTAGCATGCAAGTCTACAAGCTCGTACAGCAGGCATACAAAGGCATCTCTCCTAGCATTCTAACATGCAATCATGAGCAGATCCTTAGGCCTAATCTAACATGCTATTCACAGATTCACAATTCAAAGCATAATATAAAATATGTATGGGTATTTTGAGAAAACTTACTTGAGCTCGGTCAATTTCATGCACCACACCCATTTATTTTATTAGAAAAACTCTTTTTGTAAAACATTTCTTTTATGAAAAATCTACCAATTCCGCAGTTTGAGTTTAGACATACCAGAGAGTATGCCTGAATCCCTCAAAACAAGGCTCTGATACCAACTTGTAACTTCCTAAAATTTAAACCCAAAAATTTCTTTTTCATAATAATGAAACCATCAACCAAAACGTGTTCACAAAACCATTAAGGAAAAATCAGATTATGTCAATCAATCATCTCAATACATCAGAGTCAAATAAAACGGAAATTATGGTATGTGAGATGCGATCATCCGGAGCTCTTCCCCTTCGATCCGGAAGTACCTGAAACATAAACTGAAAACTGTAAGCACGAAGCTTAGTGAGTTCCCCAAAATAGCACATACCATAGATATCTTCCAGATCAAGGCTGTACCGGGTCTATTTCACCCTTGGGTCTATTTCACCCGCTAGTCTATTTCAACTCATGTGTCGACCCAAGGCCGTACCGGGTCTATTTCATCCCTGGGTCTATTTCACCCCTGAGTCTATTTCAACTCATGTGTCAGCACAAGGCTGTACCGGGTCTATTTCACCCCCCGGGTCTATTTCACCCCACATACTTATAGGAAACAGGCACACATGCATATAACACATACAATAGGAGCCATAAAGACTACAAGCACATCCATAATTAGCGCATAATGGGGGTGCCCTAATTTCCAACCAATCACAGAATGCCATGTAGGGGCTTCTAGAATCATCAACCTCATAAGCATCAACCAAAACACATGATGGAACATCATGTATCACAATGGCACATCATGTATCATAATGGAGCATCATGATGTCGCATCAGCCACGTGGAACATCCTATATTAGCATCTTTGTCCTTCTGAGCAACATTTGGACAATCTTGAGCATCCTAGTGAACTTGACTCCCGAGTGGCGCATTAGGAGCAATGATGGCACACCATGAACCTTGGTTGCGCATCATGTTCCATAATGACACATCCTCCTCTTGAATGGCACATCCACCTCTTGAATGACATATCTTGTCACTTGGTGGCATATCCTGTCATTTGGTGGCATATCATGTCAATTGGTGACATATCTATTCACTTCGTGGGATATCAAGTCACTTGGTGGCATATCAAGTCAGTTCATGGCATATCAAGTTACTTCGTGGCATATCAAGTCAGTTCGTGGAATATCATGTCACTTGGTGGCATATCATGTCAATTGGTGGCATATCAAGTCACTTGGTGGCAGAGCAAGTCAATTAATGGCATATCAAGTCACTTTATGGAATATCAAGTCACTTGGTGACATATCAAGTCACTTTATGGAATATCAAGTCACTTGGTGACATATCAAGTCACTTGGTTGCATATCATGTCACTTTGGTGGCATATCAAGTCACTTCGTGGCATCTCCTATCATTTTGGCATATCCTCTCCTTTGTCAGGAGATCCATTCCCTTCTCAGTTGATCCCTTCATTTGTTACATGCTCCATGAATCCTAGGTGCTTCATTGAGTTCCAAGTGCTCCATGTTGGACAAGACTTCATATCCCAACACATTACCATAACCACATGTCGTGTATCTTATCTTCTTACAAGTCCTAATATTCGATACCCAGAAGAAACACCAATGTGTACAATATTCTCGCCAATCTCCATAAAAATAACAAGCACAAGCAAGTATGAATCTTACACACGATTCATAAAAGGCAGGGCATACCACCAACAATCTCCAGGAAAACAACAATCACTCAGAAACATACCAAAAAACTTTCAGCTGGATCTTCATTCAATGATTCCATGTTTTCTTTTCTTCTTATCTTCTTCCCAATTGATGATTGTGAAGGACACCAAAGACCCTTCATTGTGTTCAATGATCTACCATTGATGGCGTACAAACCCTCATCTCTTTCTTCTCCTGTTTCTGTTTGTCTTCTATGTCTTTCTCCTTTTCTTCTCAACCGGGCTCTAATACCACTATGTTGGAGAAAACATTGAAGATAAATGATTGTAGGAAGAATTCCTTTTATGCAGAAAAACATAACTCTTTATTAACGATTACAACAACAATTTTACATCACATTATTCATATATATACTCTTTTGTCGCTTTATGTAACTGTCAATTGACAGTTACATCAGTTACTAATGCTTTCAAACCATCACAATGTTTCACATAATAACGATTGAAACCAATCCTTATTATACCTATCTTAATTGTCAGGACAAGAACCAGTTTAATTACTCCATTAAGGCTAGATTATATCTTCAGCACCATTTGCACAAAGCAATTTTCGCACTATGCTGCATTGACAGTATAAATAGTCTGAACGACAGTAAGAGCAAAGAGGATGATTCCAGCAAGTAGAGCAATGGTATTCCATGGACTACTAAAATATGTACCCTTCAATGCTGCAATGTTTTTCGGCCAGTATTTATTGTAGTATGCATCCAACTCCTGCCACTGATCAACATAATAAAAGTTTTCCAAACGATTTTGTGCGCATATGCTGTTAATCATACTTGTAGCCTTTTCGTTTGAGCCTAAATGGTTTAGAACGACTTTTGATTCTATCAACTTAGCAATGTCTTCTTCAGTATCAACTAACATATCCATTGCTGCGGCATATGATGTTATATAACTAGGATAGGTAGATGTCCGTTCGTAAGCAATGAGGTTCCTTAAAATCAACTCAGTGATGTTGTCAATGCGTAGTACTGGCATTCTAAGACTAGGCTTAAACCAAAACCAAGAAAAACAGGAAAACTTAGATGATTTATACTCCATTGTCATTTGCCATCTTTCATCTCGATAAGGAGAAAAGATAATCCCTGCTCTATTCAGCTCTATAGTTGAGTGGATTGCTGAACCAGGTAGTCCTTCTGAAGGAGTATATTTCAATGATGGCCAGTAACATGTTTCTAGAAAACCAAGAATATGATCAAGATGAAAATCTACAGTTCTATCACTGACTGTTAATTTTGTTTCAAAGATGTTGAAAAATTGTACAAGATCAATAAGAAGCTCAGTAAGAGTGTTTGTAAGTTGAGATTTGGCAATGGTGAGGTCAAAGATGAGGTTAAGAACCAAGAAAGGGATCTGGTTTTCTAGCAGCACTAAGTCATATAGCATAGGCGAGCCACGCAACAAGTGTTTTTGTTCATCGCTGGATTTGGAAATCATGAGAATGAATTCAAGTATGAAACAAGCATCCATAACCATCATTGTGGAAAGCTCAGTGTCACTGTAGGCCTTCTCGATGCGTGGATAAGATGCCCTTATCATGTCTATTGAAGCAGCCGCCTTAAGCAAACATTCTTTTAGCGTTTGTTCTGGTGGTGAAGGAACACGATGCAATAAAGAATCTACATAAGTCGCTTTTTGGTCTTCAAATAGTTGTAGAGGTTCGTCGTGTCTATGAAGAGGACCAATAGAGACCACACGAGGGTCGAAAGAAACCGGACTAAGATCTCGGAACACACTAGGAACCATGTTAATAGTTCGTGAAAAATGGTTGGTATCTTTTTGTTCTTTCACGGAGCTTACAACAAGCTTGAAGGTATCGATAATGATATCCACATCTCGATTTTCCATTAGGATTTTTTGCTAGATTTCCGCTGAGAAAAAGAAAATTGAAAAGCGATATGAGAATTAGTACATGTAGTGTTTCACTGTCACTCTCTACATACATAGATACATAGAGATATGCAGTCATGCAGATACACAGATAACGGTCTGGATCCCGTAAAAACCCAAACTATCGTAAAAAAAGCGAGTCCATTTCTTAAAAGTTAAAACAAACCTAAAACATAATTCTTGAATTAGGTCGTGACGCACATTCATTGACACAGTCAATATTTTTATTTTATTTTTTATTTTTTTTAGTGATATTTTATAAGATTTTTACCTTTTTACCTTCTTAGTGTTTTTATTTGTTTTTTGTTTTTATTTTTAATCTTTTCATTAATATCTTTATAGCATTTTTATTTATTTATGCTATTTATTTTTTTGGATTATATTTTACTTTCTTTTAGATTTTTGAACAGTAGATGATACTTGTGTTTGAAATTTAAAGATTATGAGATTTTTGAATCATAAGATGTTAAGGGTAATATTATTTTTGAATTATAATATTTTTGGTTCATAAAAAATTATTACATCATAAAATTTTTGAATCAGAACTTTTTTATATCATATTATTTTAACAAGTACTGTATCACATGATTTTTTATCATAAAATTTTATATGATATCATTTCAATCTTATCTTTATTAAAATATGCAATCTTGAAACAAATTTTTTGATATATACAAATAATCTTATTTTCTAAAATTTCTTTTTGGAAAGTTCATAACATAGAATATATAAGAAACCTTGAAAATGAATAATGAATTTTGATTTAGAGAAAAAAAGTTTCATTTCATAATTTTTTTAAAACTTGCATTTCTTTAGAGGAACAAATTACTGAAATCGTCCCTATGGTTTGGTCAAAATTGCGAGTTTGGTCCTTAACTTTTTCTTTTGCACTCGGACCGTCCTTACTGCATGATTTCGTTGCGTGTTTAGTCCCTGCCACATTTGAAAAGACTATATTACCCATTGTTTTTTATTTTTCAGTTTTTTATTAATTGCTTATTATTTACTAATTAAAGAAAATGATTTATAGACATGTGGGGGACCCACTTATATTGCCACTTCCACTGGTAACCACCACCGATTACCATCAACACTGCCCACTTATTCCGGCACCACCACTATCCACCTATTCCGGAACCGCCACTGCCCATATCATCGATTTCATCAGGTGACACCCCAAGATCAAAATGCGTAAATCAAAACCAAACCAAGATCAAATCCCGAAATCAAAACCAAATCTAAAAATCAAAACCCAAAACCTAACCTGAAATCGGAGATGAAAGAAAAATCTGATGGAATCCCAAAAATCAAAGACGATTTTCAGAAGAAACGGAGTTAAAGGTGAACGACACTCTTTGCGATTTTTGATTTGACGGTCTAATTTTCAAAGATTTTTTATGGAGATGATGGTAGTCGGGGTTGCAGAGAAGGAGACGGCGGTGGCGATGGAAGGAAACTACTGTCAAGGCATTAACATGTCTGATTGTCTCATTTTTCCAACAAAGCGCTCCACCTACGATGGTGGAAGGAAACAATCTCCAAGGCGATGGTGGTGGATCGATTTAGGTTCAACGAAGGAAGATGCTTCCTGTGTTTGATGTATCCCAGATGATGGCAACGGTGGTGTTAGATTTAGGGATCCGGCGACAGCGCCGGTTATGGAGAAGAATGAGGAAGATGAAGATGAGTGTCAGTCGTAGGGAAGGATGAGATCTAGGGTAACGTTGAGGAGATAAAAGAGTTCAGGTGGGCCCCACATGTTTTATTAGTTCTTTTAATATAATAAATAATAAAAAGCTGAAAATAAAAAATAAAGGGTAATATAGTCTTTTCAAATATGGCAGAGACTAAACACGCAATGAAATTATACTGTAAGGATGGTCCGAGTGTAAAAAAAAGTTAGAGACCAAACTCGTAATTTTGACCAAACCATAGGGACGATTTCAGTAATTTGTTCAAAAAACAAAAAATTGTTAACAATATTTTCCAAAACTTTCCACCCCAGTAAGACAATAAGATGAAGAATTCTCTCAATTATTCTTTGAATTTAGAGAGATAAAGTTTTTTCCACTTATTAATATACCAAGGAGGAGTATCGTTTAAACTTTTATGGGAGAAATTTTTTTAAACTTTTCTACAAATTTTTTTTATGAAAAGACCCAATAAACCAAAAATAAATAAATAAATAAATAAAACGGCACTAATGAGTTCATACAAACCTTTTGAGCGCCTTTCAAAGGGACCGAATCACAGAACGAAATAAGCAACCCGGACAGATGAGCAAGGATGGAAACATACCTTCTTTGCTGGTATTAGTTCAACTCTCTTTCTGCTTGGTACTTTGTCAAATTTATGGATGCTTTGTAATTGTAGTCCTTTAAATACATAAATCAAATAAACAACGCTTAGACTTTAAACCAAGGACGACCAAGGCTTTCTAATTTGATGTCTTTGATTTCTTTCAAGTAGATATTTTTTTAATTATTATTTAGTAATTTCCGAAACCTACTTGTCAATTTGTTCCAAATTTATTTTCGTCTACCTTCAAAGTCTTCTTTCATTTAATACACAACTAATCTGATTTTTAATCTAAAATAATACATATAATATTAAATTTTTAGTCCATAATAATTTATTGGATAAGAAACATAACAACTCGTATAGATGAATCGGTTTGAATGGAATATGCCACCCACAAATTCTTACCTCACGAATAACTTTTATGCAGACCATTTCTCGCTATATATGTATATATAAACAACTTACATGTTCGCTATATATGTATATATAAACAACAACTTAAATGTTTTTGTTTTTATTTTATTTAGAAGCGGACTTAGTGTAATATAATGGTGTTTCTTTTCTGCCTAATATATAAAGCAGCAGGTTAATGGGTTAGGTGAGAAGATAAAACATTTATCCATGCATTAATATGTTGGTTTTTTACCCCACTACCCTTTAGTCGATCCACAATGCATTGAGAGTTTAATAGATCCACACCATACTATTCTACTTATCATACAATTATATCAGTTTTTCTTCCAATGCATTAAACCCTATAAAAATGTAATAATGCATTAATCTCTATAAAAATGTAATGAAACATTTATTTTAAACTTAGAAATGTTTCTTTTTTCCTATTGACAAGTTCAGTGGTTATTAAACTTCAATTGAACGCCAAACATTACATCACATTATGTTTGAGTTTAATACAATAACTACCAATAGACATTTCATCTAATTCAACTTTTCCATTAAGCGGATCATCTTATCTATTTAAAAGTGAAATTGAATAATCTGACCAAATATGTAAGACATTTTGAATAAACTAACCATATTTAATTTGTTTTTTGAAAAATAATCATCTATTTCGGAATGTGTCATTCCGGATTGGAGTTGTTCGACTCGACCCATGCCCATTTTGTATCGGGTTTAGGACAAAATGGGCACTACCTAAGGCATTCCGATAAGGTGGAGGTTTTACGGGTAAGTTATTCACTCAATTACTTTTACTTGTTAAATTCTGCAAGTGTAAATGCAAAATCTAGAGCCCGGAACGTGAAGGTATAGTTTGAAACACGAAGAATGGCTCCAGAATTTTGTATTAACTGATATTAGGTAGTTATTTAGTACTCCCTCCGTCCCAAAATTATTGTCCACAGACAAAAAACACATACATTAAGAAAAACAATAATTAGTTTTGTCTTTTTGAGTAAAATGACTCTCTTGCCCTTTTCTAAAACCAATGGAAAATGTGCGTTTGTAATTATTCAAGTTTACTTTATTAAATGTTAGGGGTAATATGGTAAAAGTGTATATCTACTTTTGCTAGTGGACAATAATTTTGGGACAAACTAAAATAGTAAGGTGGACAATAATTTTGGGACGGAGGGAGTATTAGTAAAGACCCAAAAGATTAACATAGTATTTATGTTTACAATAAAATGTGCCTTAGGTAATTCCAGAATGATTTCCGTATACCATAACACGAAGATCATATCTAGAAAACGACGAAAAAATCCACAATATCATGAATCTGTTGAGAATGTTTAGAACAATCCCTTCCGGAGTACCATAACCAATCAAAAATAATAGTGTTGTATTGAAAGTAAATTTATTTGCAACATGGCCGTATTTTTTGATTCTTTTGTTACAATGTCTTGCAAACCTACCATTGTTGTATATATTCTTGCTAAAATTAGGAACCAACTGTAATGCGAGGCTATGTTCCGATAGACGTGTTGATTGACATGACATCATGCTCTGCATTTTCTTTCTTGTAGAGCAGAGGTCGGATGATGCTAAGTGAATATTTGTACTAATAACTTTCAACACCGATTTTCAAGATTGGCTTGGCACGGTTGATAAATCCATTTACCCAACCTGCTCTAAGTGTGATACGTTATACTTATGTTTTAATTACATTACCTAAGTAATAAACACTTATAAGAAAATGTTATATGATGATTAGTTAATTCCATACCTTTTGTGAAACTATTCATCCCCGTTAATATACTTAATATACTGAATATCCATTGGCTTTTAGGGGTTTTGGATGGACGTTCACTCTCACTATATATGAAGGCTACTGGTATGAAGGCTATTTTTCAGAAGCTGTAACATGGTTCATAATTATACGAGCTCATATCTACGAACTCCTATGAGGTATCAATTATTGGGATACCAAACCAACTAACCAACTGATGTAATCCTTGTTGGTAGTTTCTTACTTATTCTTGTGAAGGGAACAAACGTACCATTATAGTCTGGTGATAAAGGGAATTATGGAGTTTTCTTATGTTGGTTCCTAGAGAGGTTAAACGATAGTCAATTATTGAGCATAGAAGGTTGCACCAAGACTTGGACCAAGTCATATTGAACGATTTGCACAAATTGCATGAGATACACAACAATGGCCTATTTGCACGTTATATTATTATTTGAGCATATACTAGTTT